GAACCGCATGGTGATCCATCATTACCCAGTAAGTGCATCCAACCCTCATGGCCCTCTGACGCTTGCTGTTGTCCAGCGCTGGTTGCCAAAGGAGGGTTTGTGAGAAATGCAATGCCACAGCACTTCTGGCTATCTCTGGCACAAGCTGACTGGCTGGCAGGCAAACATTGATTAATTTACTTCTTTACACCAACCTGTGCAAAAGCTGGTGAGCTCTAGCAAAGACAGCTCCTTTACACCCTAAATGAGAGCATTTCCTTCTGATAAATTCTTCCAGCAATTGCCTCTGCCTTCTTCCTGACACTGATTTCTACTGGGACATCTGTACCAGGAGGCTGCCCACACTTGTGCTCTGGTGGCAGAAGGGGGGAAATGCTCAGTAGCTGAGCTTCTGTAGAGCTGGCTGCTGGGGCTGTGTGCCAGGGACTTCCTTTCTGTGCTGCCTTATAGTGTTTCTGTTTCTTGGTGGGTCTGGTCCAAATCGTAACACCAGACAGCAACCTTTAATTGGTTTATGCTGACTCCTTGTGGAGTGTCTGTTCATGCTGGCCAGTGATCCCCTTTTTCTTTGGGATGGCTCAGAGAGAAATGCCAAACCAGTTTTTTTTCCTCAGCCAGAATAAGTCAATGCATTGGCTCATAGTGGATCCAAAAGTGTTCTTGCAAAGGCTAGTTCCGGTTAGTGTGTTACCAGCAGACGACATGTATGGGACACTAATTTTGGGGTCTTTTTCTCCTCATGTTCTCTGCATTTTGCTTCTTGTTGGCTCTGGCTTGGCTCCTGCATTTGTGTGAGTGTCTGTGTGTCTCACCACAGGGGGAGGAGGTGAATGCTGGCAGGATTGGACTCACCATTATACTGTCAGGGATGGTTGGGGCTCTGATTTCCGGCATCTGGTTGGACAGAACCAAAAAGTACAAGTAAGTCCCTTGTTTGCCTCATGTGCCCAAGTGACTGTGCTTTTCCCCCATACTGTGGAAGGAGCAACCCTGTGCAGTTTAAATTCCACAGTCCAGGGACTGAATCATTGGGAGGATCTGTAGGAAAAAAATATGATTCAAAATCCAGTTAGTCTAAAGTGAAGTTTGGAGCTGTGTGTTAGTCTCCACTGGGACCAACCAAGGTCTTGTTCTGGTGATCCCATGGGAGGCATAGGGAGAGGATGAGATGGCCCAGCAGCTGCTTTGTCAGGGATGAGAGAGTTCTTGGCACAAGGAGAATTAAGAGTGTACCAGACCATTTCTCAGCCCTTGCAAGCCAGCTTCTGAGAGTCTTTGTCCAGCTTAATGAAAGGCACATTGAATCCAGTGCCCAGAGGCATTGTGTGAGGGCATGTTGCTGTATTTAGGGCAGGAATAAGGGTATTGGGGCTGCAGGAGGATGATTCTGGGTGTGCTGCCTGGTGGGTTGGGCATGCAGAATCTGGCCAGCATACTCTGCCATCTGCAAAGGAACAGCTTTGGGTGTCTGCAGCTCCCAGATCTTAGGAACTCAGATGTCACTGACAGACCTCTGTAGGGTGCCCCATAAGATGGAGAGTGCCTCTCCTGACTTTTGCTTGGATCCATGTAATCAGCTCTTCAGTTTCCCTGCCAGCTTTGAGAACTGTTCTATAAACTGTTATCTGAGCAGGTTGAGTGGAGTGAGAGGGGGTTTGACTGGTAATGTGCAGGTGATGAGCTGAAAGCGACTTCAGAGTCCTTTTCCTTGCAGCAGTTTTTTACCTGGTGGAGTCCCACTGCCATTACTCTACCTGGTATCTTGGGCCAGAAAAGCATGTTCTCATTATGGGCAACTTAGATGAATCTGTCTGGCTTTGGGCTTGCAGCTTCTGAAGTGGCCTCTGGCCCTAGCTGTCAAGTACAGGGGTCTAAAATGGAGAGGAAATGGGCTTCTCTAATGTGAAAGAATGGTAGCTGAGGACTCCTAGGGGTGCTGGCAGAAAGGAGCAGATGACTAATACAGAGAATGGCAGATTACTTGCTGCTGTTTCTAGATTGTTCTGTGTTGCTGTGTAGTTCTAATTTTCCAGTCCTGGGAAATAGAAACACAGCTGTTAGGAACTGCACTAACTAACTGTGCAGTGTAACCTGTGTCTCTTCCCAGCCTGGGGCTAGTGGTAGGGTAGCCTCAACTGGCACTGCTGGGGCCAATGGTCTTCCTGATTCTCCCTAGGTGGAGTAGTACAGTTGCAGCATGAAGGCTGAAGGGCTTTATGGCTCATCAGGCAGAGCTGGGACTTTAAATTTGGCAGAATGGGAGAGGGGGAAAAAAATATATCCTGGATTTGTTCCACAATCCCTGCTTGCTTGGAGGGACCATGTAGGTGGGCAAAGCTGGCTGAGAGTGCAGAAAAATAGGCTATGCTACCCATGGAATTTATCCCACAGACCCCAGAGACTGTCTGGTGATAGATTTAGTCTTAGGTGAGGAGAAACATTGCTAAGAATTTATTTTCCACTGCAGTCCACAAAGTGGATTTCTGTGGAACTAGCAAAATTTTTGAGTGTTATAGAGTCTTTATTTAGCCCCATTTAAAAGCTGATTTAAAAAACCTGTCAAGACGCCAGATGTTCTAGGTGGGTTCCCTCCCCTTCCTTCTGCTGCTTAGATAGTGTAAGGAATGAAATCGTAAGCACATGAAAATCAGGGTGGAAAGATGTCAAGTCCTTTTTTCAGTCAGCTTGCAGAGAGAGGGAAGCAAATGAATGGGATCCAGCTGTGATTGAAGGGAGCAGGGTGAGGTTAATAACTGAAGGAATTGCAGAGCTCTACATGCTTGTTTGATCTTTACAGTTCCATCAGCAGTTCCTTGAAAGGGTGAGGCTGTGCTAAGTCAGGCTTTCCCCATCTGTCATTCTCAGGCAGCAAATGGCCTTGCATTCTTGCTTTTATTTGGCAGGCAAGTCCCTGCAGCAGCCCCGGGACTGGTTTTATTTTTGGAATTAGCAGGCATACATTTGGCACATACAAAAGCCCGAGTTATGTTGTGACAAGTGAGCTGTCCCAGAACTGAGGCTGCCTCTGGTGGGATGGCTTGTTGAGAACAGCCCACCTCTTCGAAAGAACACACATTTTGACATCCAGTTAAATGGGGCTCTGTATACATCCTTCATGTTCCTGGCTCAGTGGGGAGATGGGGTTGTGACACCTGGAGACTGCTGGGTGTATTGGTATTTGCTGGGGAGTTTGGCTCAGAATCAAGGGTTTGGGGACTGGATTGATCAGCACTTCTCTTTGACTGCGCTTTGCTTTTAAGTTCACATGGCCTTGGGTCCAGCTGGTTCCAAACAGTTCTCTGCTGTCATTGCTGCATCTCTGCAAGACAAGGTGTCAGAAGTGTCCATCTCTCTTCATTGACTAGGCAGAGGGCTTTGAGTGGTGTTTTAAACTTAGGTCTGTGCAGGCCCAAAGTGCATTCAAATCTGGGGGAGAGAGGATAGACTTGGATTACTGGAGAATGGGGTGGTTGGATCTTTTCCACTGAAAGATGAGTGCCCTCTCAGCCTAGCCTGCCCTGAAGTTTGGGTCTTCTTGTTGTAGCCCTCTTCTGGGTTAGTCCTTGTGTTCACTCTGTCCTCCTGTATGTTTTATATAAATAATTTACCAAGGCTGTCCTTCTTTGTGACCTTCATATGGGAAGAAAGTGGTATAAAACAGAGTGCCAAAGGATTAAGGGGGTGGTGAAAATGAAACCAACCTTCTCCAATTCTTCCTTTCTCCAGCATCTGACACCTCAGTGGTTTCAGCAGTGAGATCTTGCTGGGAGTATAGGGACAATGCCTTTGCTCAGAGTCTTGCGCAGCCTGGAATGTGCTGTCCTCATGGCGAAGCCTGTGGAAGCCACCTGTAATCCCAGTCTGTACAGTGGAGCACTCAGGAGCTGCACACAACATCCCAGTGAGCAGTTAAAACACTGGCATGTGGCTGTAGCCTCCTTCTGCCCCTTGTTCATTTACTGCCTCAGATGTTGCTTGACTCCAGTGTTTTTGCAGCTCTAATCCCCCGTGAGTCTGTTCCCATCCCTTTGGCTTTCTTTGTCCAAGTGACCTTGTGAGACACGGCTGGGCTTGGTCATGTCTGTTCCTTACTCCAGGGCTTCCTCTGGAGTTGGCTAAACAGCAAGGAGTTGTGCTCTCCATTTCAGTCCTATTCTATGCTTGTGCTGGCCCTGGCTGGCTTTTTTCTCTAAGGTCTCTCTTTCTTACAGTCCCTTGTGTGAACTCTTTAATCTGCCTCTTCAGAGGGCAGAGAATGTGGCTGGGGAGGGCAGATCAGATGAATATTAGGGCAGCTTAAGTTCACCTAAGTGACAAGCATGTCTGCTCCTTCACAGATCCCCCTCTGGGTCCGCTGCAGAGACTTGTAAACAGTGCCTTCATAGCACTGTTTCCACATGGATGTGCTGGGCTTCCTTCCCACACCCCAGAGCATGGGGGTTGGTTAACCCCAGTTGTACTAAGGTGATAGAGCAGGACACACAACTTTCAGCCTGCACTCATTGCACTAGTCAGCCTGTTAGGGAAACTAGTGATACCTGTTCCAGACAATGATAATTATCAGGCCCTGTAGGGCTATCATGGGAACAGGTTGCTAATGCAATAACCACCAGAATGCTGTGTGAGTATCCTCTGTGAATCTGCTTCTCCTTTATGCTTCTCCTTTCTGTTTTTACCTCTCCCATAAGATATTTATGGCTATGATAAGAGGATTACCAAGCAAAACTGGGCATTATTCCATGCCCTGGTGTCCCTTGTCCTTAGTGAACATGGTGACAAAGGCCACTTCCCGAGAAACGCCCTGTCTTTGTGGCTTTCCCTAGGGCTTTCTTTGTTTTCCTGTGCACCAGTATCTACCTGTGTCTCAATTAAACCCCTATCAAAATTTTGGATCTTGCTTGGACTGCTGGGCACTACAGCTCATTTTTTGTCCTCAGTGGTGTGCTCAGAGTATGCTGAAGTCTGGTTTAGCAGAAGTCTGCTTGAGTGCTTGAGGCTGTTTCCTGCAGCAGGAGTTGCATTCAGGGCTGTCTGTTCAAATCCAGCTAGGGACTGTGTCAAGCAGACAGCCTGCAATGCATGGCTTCAGGGCACTTCTTGGTGTGTGATTTTCACAGCATTCAAGGCAATTTGTTTTGCCCTGCTGGAGCCTAATGATTCATGGAGGTCAGTGAGGAGTGCTCATAGTCTCCTAGAGCTCATTAATGTGTGGTAGATGAGGTACCCATGGCAAGATTAAAGAGTTTTCTCCATTTTATCCCCCACTTAGTTCTGCTGTGCCAATGGAAAACACCTTCAAGAGCTGCCTGCTTCTTTGAGCCTGCCTGCTCCAGTTCTCAGTGGAGGGCTCCATTATTCTGGGAACTTTTTCCTTGCAGCTTGACTAATGACGCAGCATCAATGTGAAACAAAGGCTTGACTGCATCTGATCACTAACTCAATCATCACCTTTGCCTGGAGATGAAGGGCAAAGTGCAACTGTTAGCAACTGTCACAACTGAGTGAATCAGATACAAACGACTTAGAATCAAAAGCCTAGGAAATTGGGAGAGATTTTGTGGGACTATCCTAAAGAGTTTTGCACTGACACCAAAACTGCCTGTGAGGAGAAAAAAAAAATAAAAAAACCATGCCAAGTGTCCCTTCTGGCTGCGACTAAGGTTCTCAGGGCCACAGCCATCTCTTGAAGGCCTGCACTGTGTTTTAGCACTGACTGCTATGTAGTTTGGAGACTCCTGTTTATGGAAGGAGCACCCAGTTCAGACTTGGTCTGTGCAGCCCAGGAAGCTGTAATTCTAGCCTGGAGGCCCTCTCCTCGTCGGCACTTTTCCTCTATGGCTGCTTGTCAAGGGGTGGGAGGCATAAGAACTCACAGGAGATACCTGAGGAACCAATATTGAGCAGAAAAAGGCCTTTACCTGCTTCTTTTTCATTTTCTGGGGCTGCTCTTCAGCTCCTGTGTTGGTCTTTAAGGTTGTCTTCTGCAGCCTCCAGGCTGTGTGCTGGCCGTATAGCAGCTCTCTGTAATGGGTTACAACAGAAGTAATCAGCCCCTTTATGCTGCCTTCACGGATAACTTTTTTCCTCCATGAATGCATTGGAAATAACATTTTCTAGAAATGATAACAGCATTGGAGGTTAAGGAATTTGCCTACCTCTTTGGCACAAAACAAGATGCAAACAACAGCAAAAAGTTGTTTAGCCTTTCAGTACATTCAATATGAACCTTTCTAAGCATGAATCAATAGTTAAAGTCTGAAATTAGCTTCTCAAGCCTGTATTTGGTTGAGTTGTATAAGCATGAGCCCCACTGAAATCAGTCATTGCAGCAGTGAGGGAGGACACAACCTTATCTGGAACATTCTGGTTTTATTGGTAGTAATACAGTGTACTGGAAACATTTTATTACACAATATAGTATTGTCTGCCTGTTTGGGGTTGGATTTTTGACAGTGGTCATTTGCATGAAAAAGAAAAAAACAAAAAGTGAAAATAGTTTGAGGTTTAGTTTATTTAGTAGAATTCTAGGAACTGATACCAAGCATATTCTTTAATGGATTAAGTAGTAAAAAGCACACAAGTAGCTTGTGATTATATGTTTAACTTCTTCCTAAAAGATGTTAGCCAGAAAGTATTGTCAAGTCTGGTAACTGTTCTGCTTTCAAGATCTTAAATAAATTTCAGTCAGGTAAAGGATTCACCTCCCCTCTTTCCATCCTTCTCCTCCCTCTCCTCTCTATGTACTGTGAAGGCCTACTTCCTGCCTCCTGTTCTACAAAGAGCCTTGTTTATTGAATGTGGGAAGGATTTTCTTGGTGTCTAGTCAGGGATGACAATTGCTAACATTTCAGTTCTGGTAAAGCTGACCTGGGCTGCTGCTTGTGTCTTGCAGAACTGAGTCTGCTGATGTTCCTCAGCCTGGCTGGGCTGCAGGTCCAGCTGTTCTCAGGATCTGCCTGACATTGTTCCTAGGCACAGGGGGGGTCTCTTTGTCCCCTCTGCTCAGAGATAAGGGCTCATGGTTCTGCCACCATTGGCTGTGGAACTGGCACTAGCCCTGCTAAATGCTCCTGTGGCTTGAGGGTGAGGCTGTGGGGGCAACTTGGCTTACACTTCATTTCTCAAGGTACAGTAGGAAGTTTAAACACAGGATGAAGCAGCAGCGAAAGGGATTTTGGATAGCACTGAAAAATACAGGTTTGTAACAGTGCAGCAGTGTTGTCACCTCTTAGCTTTGCTTTCCTGCTTAGGGCTGCTCAACCTCCTTGGCTCCTTCTTATAAGTGTGTCCAACTGGTTATAGTACAGAGTTCCCAAGAAAAAGTGAATGATCTTTTTCTTGGCTCTTGTTCTCCCCCTTGAGGCTTGTACCATCCATGACCAGGGAACTGTCAGTCCATGGTAGGATCTGAGCTTCTTAACTGGCTCATAGGTGCTTCCTTATAGATGTCATACCACCCCCACAGGGAGCAAAGCCCTCAGTCATGAGGAAGGGATACTAAAACTCCTAGGTCCTGTTCTTGCTTCTCCTGCTGCCCTCTTGTGTGTGCAGGCCCTTCCGTTCTCTCTGTTTGTCCAGTTCCTCTATCTGGGGTAAACTTGTAAGAAAGCTGTACAACCTTTTTTATTGTTTCTTTTTCTTTTTCCTAGACCACATGCTGCAAACTATACTGGGATCAATGGGTGAAAAGGAGGACTGGATTAAATAATACTTTGACTCTGCTTTTTCTTGCAGACAGACAACAATGGTCGTCTATATCATGTCTCTGGTGGGAATGATAATCTACACCTTCACTCTGAGCCTAGGCCACCTCTGGGTGGTCTTTGTGACTGCAGGCATGCTGGGGTAAGTCTATGTGCAGGCTGCTTTCCTCCACGTGTGAGCTGTGAGGGGATAAGCAAAGCTCATGGCACAGGAGTGTGTGTGTGGCTCCTGCATGGATTAGGGACAAAAATATCTACTCTTTCCATCTCTCTTTAACACATGTTTCATTAGAGTCAGGGACTTCAGTGTGGCCCTGCTCAGCTGCAGCTGCCTTAAATGTTCCAGGTAATCAAATGAAAACATTTGGGAAGTAAGTGGTACCACAGCCCCATAGATGACCAATGGGCAGGAATGATTAAGTACCTTTATCTCATTATTGTTAATTTTTTGTGTTACAAATTGTGTGACTCATACACTTGGACTCCTCTATATATTCAGCTTCCTTGGAAAACCAGAGCACGATGAGCAGAGCTGCTGCTGCCCAGGTTCTGCTCATGGTGCTGAACGAGCACCACCTGCTGGTCAGTGGCCAGTTGTCCTGGTGGTGAGTTGGTGGAGTAGCTGTGTCTGCAGGAGAGTTGGTTGCGGCAGACAGTTGGCAGTGAGCAGTTGGCAGCAGTTATTCTAGACCTTAGCCCTGGGCAACTGGTAACACGGGGAGCCAGCAGTCCCTGCTGCTGCAGTGCAGCTTCCCTGTCTGCACAATGCACGGGCGGTGCCAGCATTGGTGTGGCTGTGCAGGCTCAGTGGGAGACAGTGGAGCAGCTGCCTGCTCTCTGGCTTCCTGAGCAAAGCCCTCCTGTAGTTCTCTCCACCTGCCTTGCATCCTGCCTGTCCATTAGCTGGACATGCTTATGCTGGCCAAAATTTTAATTTTACTATTTCACTTTAGATGCAGCTGCCTTTATCTCATTGTTGCCTTTATCTCATTGTTAGTTGAAATATTACTTTGTTACTACCTGCTGGACTGTTTGCTGCCAGGTGCTTAAGGCTCCCTGTGGCACCATGTGGAGCCCCCACTGATGTTCAAGGGCTTTGTTGCCAATCCTGCCATCTGCCAGGAAGGACCTGTGGCTGCCTTGTGCTGGGGAGGACCAGTGGCATCTGCTGACATGCAGACAGTTGTCCTGCAGAGACCTGGCCTAGAACCCTAGAGGAACAGTCCTGTGCAGTCAGTGAAGCATCTCAAAAGGGATATGGGCCTTTTCAGTCTTCCTTCTGGCAGTTGCTGAGTCTTCCTTTCTGTATGTTTCTTTACAGGTTTTTCATGACAGGATACCTCCCTCTGGGCTTTGAGTTTGCTGCAGAGTTGACATACCCAGAATCTGAAGGAACATCATCAGGGCTCCTTAATGTTTCAGCACAAGTAGGTGTGCTGTTTTCCCTTTGCTTGCCTCTTTACAGGCAGAGAGATAAAACTGTAGTTCCCAGCCTTGATTTTGATTTCTTGTCCGTGATTATTATAATGCACTGCAGATCTAAGCACCCTGGCACCTGGCTTTTTGAATTATGTTCCTCATGGTGTTTCTCTAGTGGCACCCATTCTGTTTCTGCTTAGGAAAATCCATCAGGATGCCAGTCATCCTTGCCTTTTCTGACATTGCTCCTAACAGTCTAGCACCTGGCTCTTCTCTAGTGAGAGATGGAATTCCAGCCTTCAGATTGACCTGTCTTCCCATCCACTGCAAGGAGTTGCCTCTGGGTGTGTTTATAACAAAACTTCAGCCTTGGAAGGCCAACAGCTTGGCTGGCCCATATACTCTTTATTTCAGTAAAGCTGGGAAGCTGCTTGGGCTACTTTACAATAACATCACAGCTCGACACTGCCTTTGTTTGTTCGTAGATTTTTGGCATTGCTTTCACCATCAGCCAAGGGCAAATAATGGATCGCTTTGGGACGAAGGCAGGAAACCTCTTTCTTTGTTCCTTCCTGTTCCTGGGCACCGTTTTGACAGGTAATTAAATTTTTTTGTGTTCCTCTGCTGTGATTCTTCCCCTTGGGCTTGGCATATGAATCAAAGGGCTGTTGTGTGTAGTGGCATGTGCAGGGTAGAGCAGAACTCACACAGCAGTCCCATAGCAATGCTGCTGTGCTTTTTGAAGCATCTGGTTTATGTTACAAGAAGATCCAAGGCTTCTTTCCCTGGCTGCTTGCTGGGGTCTCAGAGATGCACATTCTGCATGCTGCAATAAGGAATCTCTGTCCTCCCTGTCTCAGAAGTGCTCTCTGCCTCACCCAGAAGAGTGGTTTCCGTTGCTCGATGTAATGCATTCCTGAGTCCTCTGGGGCCTCTGATGCCCCTTTGAGTCCTGGGGAAACTGATTTGGGTGCTGCATTGTGACTTAATTGCCTTCACATCTTTCTTCCTCCCTCTCTCCCAGCATTCATTAAGGCTGATCTCCGAAGACAGCAGGCCAATTTGAATAATGACCACACAGTGAGTAAACCCCCTTAAATCCCTGCTGTGCCCCTGTTATTAGCTCAGGACAACACCCAGCCTCTCTCCTTTCTAGGAATGGGGCTGGCCATCTCAGAGCTACAATTACAGCTGAAATTCTCTTCTCTTATCCTACCACTTCTTGTCCAGCCTGTGGAGAAACTCCTTTTTGGCATTTTCAGACAGGTGGCTGTAATTCCAGCTCTGCCAGGCTTCTGTTTACTTGCTGTTGATGTCATGCAGAATCTGTAGGCTCTGGTCCTCTGGGAGTCTTCGTGTTGGCCGGGGACAGATGTAGGGCACCACTCTGCTTGCTTCTGTTCCCTGGGAACACACTGAGTGCTCCAGTGCTTTGCCCTTGTTTAGAGTTGGGTAACTATTATTTCAGGCCCCTAGGGAGGTAGGTTATTCCCTGTCATCAGCTGTCAAGTGAGGTTCAATTGTGGGACTGGAGGAAGGTAGGTGGAAAAGCCCAAATGAGGGCTAGAGCAGCCTGGCTCCCCACACTTCATGCAGTGCTGCAGACAGGGCTCTAGTTCATATGTTAGTACCAGAGCTCAGGATATGGTGTCCTTGTGATGTGCTGTGCAATAAATGCAGCTGTTTGCATGTGGGAGGGGGGCTCTGGTGAACTAATTGCAGTGGATACTCTCAGAAGCTCTCCCTGTAGGGAGAGGAGGAGACTGGTAGTTAGTTGAGGCTTTTTTCCTTATTGCTCTGAGCTCCTTTTCTAGGATGTTAGCAGAGATGTCCACTCAATGTTCATAAAGCCATCAGCTACTGTGACTAGAAAAATGCATAAGCTCAGTTCTCTGCTGGCTCAACTCACCTCTTTTCAGAAGACAGTGCAGGGAAAGGAGGAGACTGGTAGTTAGTTGAGGCTTTTTTCCTTATTGCTCTGAGCTCCTTTTCTAGGATGTTAGCAGAGATGTCCACTCAATGTTCATAAAGCCATCAGCTACTGTGACTAGAAAAATGCATAAGCTCAGTTCTCTGCTGGCTCAACTCACCTCTTTTCAGAAGACAGTGCTGCCTTCCTCCAGATAATCTAACCAGTCCAATCTGGAGAGAGATCAGAAGGGCCAGGAAGCAGGTCTGCTCCAACCAGCTGCTCAGGAAATGGATTGTCAGTTACAAAATATATGCTATTTTATTTTTATTTTGTATTTATTGTTACTGAACTATTGAACATAAATGCAGAGAGTAGGGTAAGCAAAAGGAATTGAAGCTGCCTGGAGTAGTTCTTGCACATATAATGCTAGACTACATGTGAGGGGAAAAAGGCAGTGCAATTTATTTAGTTTGGGTAAAGGAATCTACCCCCATTGTCATAACTTAAAAAGAAGTCTTGCTCTTTTTTTTTTTTTTTTTTCTCTGATGCTTACAACTTGGGCTGATTTTAGCAGTGGTGAGCATCATGGTCTATGGGACCAAGCTAGATGACAACTGGTCTCCCAGAATCCTGGTGTGAATGGGTTTAACTGGAACACACTTAGTTAAGCTGACTTGGGGTAAAGACCAGTCTATTTTGATGTACACCAAACTGCTTGTATCTCTTAATTGACAGTGCTGAAGTCAAGGGCAGATTAATTGTAAGGCCAAACCACCCTCTACAAGCCCTGTGGTGGCAGTGTTGTAATGAGAGGTGCTGGTGGCACTGTGAGTTAATTTGTAACACGTGTGGAAGGCCTGAGAAATGTCAAGGTCTTTTGGCAGTGAACATTATGCCTAGTAGTAGTAAGGTCCTTTCCCTCTGACAGACACTTCTCTTATCAGATTAATTGTACACCTTTGCTTAAGCCATTTTTAGTATAAAACTTGTTAGTATAAATACAGTTGTTAAGAGCTTGCTGCTGGAGTGGGAAAGGTTTTGAAACCAGATCAAAGGTGGTAGAGGTGTCACTTCTGTAATCCTAAAAGCCTCCAGACCTGACTGCAGTAAGAACCAGAGGGATGTGCATGAGTTAAGAGGTCTCAGTCAGTCAGAAACTTCACTGGCAGCTCCTTCCCACTGAGGAGTCCTGCTCTGAGAAAGTCATTATGAACACCCTAACACACTCCCAAATATGGCCTCCACATGCCTGAGCTCACCTGAGTACTCCTCAAGCTTAACAACCCACCCTAGGTGCCCAGCAAACTGAAGGTGGGCTGAAGCTGGTGTTTTGTGCTAACATGGATGCCTTGGGCCAGGGAGCAACCAGCTGGGCTTGGGTGTTGTGTGCTGCCTTTGTGGAGAGCTTCGACTGACTCAGGTACTGGAGCTTTTCTACATGGCACAGTTGCCTTACACATGCTTGGGTGATTTTACTGGTTTCTTCCTTTGCCTGTTCTTTTTTATTCCCTACATGCCTCTGTCTTTTCTGGGATGGTGACTTGTGGCTGTTGTTACAGAGACTCCAAGGCAGCAATCAGATCACGGATTATGGGACTCTAGCTTGTAACCCTAACCCCGTCAATTCCCATTCCT